GCCCACCACGGTGAGGTGTGTGGCCCGGGCCGCCAGGTGAGCAGCAGGAATTCCCATAACTAAACACCCACACGACCCGTCAGCACGCCATGGTCCTATTACCATCAACTACACACGTCCTCGTCCACGTCAACCACTCTGCGACCTCCCGGGGCCCACGTCATCCACCCAGCGTCCTCCCGGGGCCCACGTCACCCACCCAGCGTCCTCCCGGGGCCCACGTCACCCACCCAGCGTCCTCCCGGGGCCCACGTCACCCACCCAGCGTCCTCCCGGGGTCCACGTCACCCACCCAGCTTCCTCCCGGGGGTGTCCTAGCCCAGCAAGTTGTCGCTGTACACATCATGTATCACCCTTCAGCTCGCCTGGTAGGATAATATATTCTTCAAACAATAAAAGAAGAAAATATTGGTAACTTTTTCATCGTTACTTTGGGTGTGTGTGTGTGTGTGTGTGTGTGTGTGTGTGTGTGTGGGAGGGAGGAGGGGTGTGATATCGGCTTTAATCTGTAACCGGGCCAGCCAACGCCGGCCCTCCTCCCTCCCTCCCTCACCACCTGTTGGCCCCGCCTCGTACAAGTGTACAACACGAACACACACACACACACACACACACGCACATGCAAATACCGACACGACACACTCATGTACTTTGAGATTCCAACACGCAAACTGATGCATTAGTTAAGATAAAGCTATTATTCTCAAGTAGGGGGGGGGCTGAGGTGAGACTGATGGGGACTGAGATGCAACTGAGAGGGGACTGAGGTGTAGTGAGGTGCGACTGAGGGGGGATAGAGATGAGACTGAGAGGGAACTGAGGTGTATTGAAGAAGAACTCTATCAATTAAATGTGTTGTTGTATTTCTACTCAAGGTGTATTGTCTCCCGTCCATCCTTCTGTCACATCGGTCCATCCTTCTGTCACATCCTTCCATCCTTCTGTCACATCCTTCCATCCTTCTGTCACATCGGTCCATCCTTCTGTCACATCGGTCCATCCTTCTGTCACATCCTTCCATCCTTCTGTCACATCCTTCCATCCTTCTGTCACATCCTTCCATCCTTCTGTCACATCCTTCCATCCGTCCATCCTTCTGTCACATCGGTCCATCCTTCTGTCACATCCTTCCATCCTTCTGTCACATCCTTCCATCCTTCTGTCACATCGGTCCATCCTTCTGTCACATCGGTCCATCCTTCTGTCACATCCTTCCATCCTTCTGTCACATCCTTCCATCCTTCTGTCACATCCTTCCATCCTTCTGTCACATCCTTCCATCCTTCTGTCACCTGTCACTAGTGTTTCCGACAGACAGTAGACAGCTTCTTGGCTTACCTCTTCCTGGACACACGAGGACTGAGCTCTGGGGCTGACAACTCCTATGGCCAGTCAACCGTCCAAATATCTGTGTGTGTGTGTGTGTGTGTGTGTGTGTGTGTGTGTGTGTGTGTGTGTGTGTGTGTGTGTGTGTGTGTGTGTGTGTGTGTGTGTGTGTGTGTGTGTGTGTGTGTGTGTGCGTGTGTGAAGAGAAGAGAGAAGAGAGAGAGAGAGAGAGAGAGAGAGAGAGAGAGACATAACCACCCCTCTGTCAAAACACAATTGGTCTACACACATCCAAACATCGGACATAAACACACCTTACACTCATCCCCCACTCACTCCCCTCTCCTCCTCCCTCTCACTCACTCCTCTCTCCACCCCACATGTCCCGACGGTCAGTAAAGTCGACTCTGGAGGTCATGGGGGGTGGGGGGGTATAAAAATGTAGAATGATCTAGAGTAACTGTGAACAGGTATAAAGATCACACCTGAAAAATGCTCTATCAGTCAATCAGTCAGGGAAGACATGTATAGGGCTAACTAACGCACACAAGTGGTTGGTATGTGCGTGAGAGCTCCGCCACAAGACCTTTTGCTTGGATTTGCTTAAAATACCCATTCGCTTGCAGGCGGTCAGCACATGGCCATGGAGGATGCTCGTCTCGCACACCCCGGCCACGAGGCACCACTCTTGTACATCACTCCTGCCTGGTGTATAGGACCCGGCCCGTCCATCCTGAGAGATAATCCTTCATGTGTTTGACAGCGACACAAGGACAACCTCTGAACTTATAACGCATACATAAGAACATAAGAATGGAGGAAACTGCAGCGGGCCTATTGGTCCATACTGGGCAGTCCCATTTACACCCAACCCCTATTGCCCATATATCCATCCAACCAATGTTTGAAGCTATCCAGCGTATTGAGTTAATGATGATATTTGGTAACTTGTTCCACTCGTCCACTACTCTATTTCCAAACCAATGTTACCTATTTCGCGCCTAAATCTAAATATGTTTAATTTGAAACCATTGTTACGAGTTCGCTTCCGGTTGGATAGTTTGAGTACCTTTGTAATGTCCCCTTTGTTCAGCCCTGAATTCCATTTATATACTTCTATCATATCGCCCCTCACTCTACGTCTCTTGAGGGAGTGCAAAATTAAGATGCTTTAACCTGTCTCTGTAGTCGAGGTTCCTAATGCCCGGGATTAGTCTTGCCATTCTCCTCTGAATTCTTTCCAAGGATTTTATATCCATTCTGTAATACGGTGACCAGAATTGAACTGCGTAATCCAAGTGAGGTCTCACAAGCGCAAGATATAGTTTTAAGATGACCTCGCTAGTCTTGTAACTAACACTCCTTTGTATGAACCCAAGTACTTTATTAGCCTTGTTTCGAGCAAATACACATTGTTTACATGGCTTAAGATTCCTACTTATCATTAGTCCTAAATCTTTCTCGCAGTCGGATTTCTCAATAACATCGTTGTTCATCTGATATCTGGTTTCCCTGTTTACATCTCCTATACTGAGTATTGTACATTTATCCACATTGAATTTCATCTGCCATTTTTCAGACCATTCGAAAAATTTGTTTAGATCTTCCTGTAGTTTTGCAGAGTCCTCGTCAGATTTAATAACACGTCCTATTTTAGTGTCATCAGCAAATTTACTTATGTTGCTGTCTATGCCGATATCTATGTCGTTTATGTATATAATAAATAACAATGGTCCGAGTACTGAGCCTTGGGGGACTCCACTAGTGACGTTGCTCCAATGGGATTTAGTGCCGTTAATGCTCATTCGCCGTTTCCTGTCCTGTAACCACGCCCTAATCCATTTTAGAATATCTCCTTTAATACCATGAGCCTCCACTTTTCTTATTAGTCCTTCGTGGGGGACTCTGTCGAAGGCTTTACTTAAGTCGAGATATACCACATCATAATTGTGCCCCTCGTCCACCGATTCAAAAACAGTTGGTTCGTCCTCGGACACTTTCATCCTAGAGCAAACTTTCTTTTTATCATTCTACAATCTCTTCTGGCCTCTACGGTACCGCTATGCCCGAGTTAGTGTTCCTCCTACCTCACTTTACAGCTTCCTCTAAATCTATCCCCGGGTCACATGAGGTTTAGGCACCCCAGCTTAACCCAACTGAAGTTTAAGCACACAGATCGTAACAGGGTCGTCTATACTTCAAAAGATCCTACCCTTCCCCCTGACCATCTACACTACATCAACCACACTACCATCTACACCACATCAACCACACTACCATCTACACTACATCAACCACACTACCATCTACACTACACCAACCACACTACCATCTACACTACATCAACCACACTACCATCTACACTACATCAACCACACTACCATCTACACTACATCAACCACACTACCATCTACACTACATTCATCACCAACCACACTACACCATACTACACCATCACACCACACTACACCACCATCTACACTTCACCAACCACACTACCATCTACACTACATCAACCACACTACCATCTACACTACATCAACCACACTACCATCTACACTACATCAACCACACTACCATCTACACTACATCAACCACACTACCATCTACACTACACTAACCACACTACCATTTACACTACATAAACCACAAAACCATTTACACTACACTAACCACACTACCATTTACACTACACTACATCAACCACACTACCATCTACACTACATCAACCACACTACCATCTACACTACATCAACCACACTACCATCTACACTACATCAACCACACTACCATCTACACTACATCAACCACACTACCATCTACACTACATCAACCACACTACCATCTACACTACATCAACCACACTACCATCTACACTACATCAACCACACACCATCTACACTACACCAACCACACTACCATCTACACTACATCAACCATCTACACATACAACCACACTACTGCATCTACACACATCAACCACACTACCATCTACACTACATCAACCACTACATTACATCAACCACCTACCTGCACCAACCACACTACCATCTGCACTACACTACAGCACACACTGCCATCTACCAACACGCTACACCAACCACACTAACATCTACACTACACCAACCACACTACCATCTACACCACATCAACCACACTACCATCTACACCTTACCAACCACACTACCATCTGCACTACACCAACCACACTACCATCTACTACATCAACCACACTACCATCTACACTACACCAACCACACTACCATCTACACTACATCAACCACACTACCATCTACACTACATCAACCCCACTACCATCTACACAACACCAACCACACTACCATCTACACTACACCAACCACACTACCATCTACACCACATCAACCACACTACCATCTACACAACACCAACCACACTACCATCTACACTACACCAACCACACTACCATCTACACCACATCAACCACACTACCATCTACACTACACCAACCACACTACCATCTACACTACATAACTACACTACCATCTACACTACATCACTACATAACTACACTATCACCCACACCAAACTATTACCAAAAATTCCAACTTTACTCCATACTGTACTGTACTAAACTCGACCTTTTACTGTCAAACGTGAAGGAACCAACCTCTAGTAGTGTGACGTGTTCCAAAATGGAGACATTCAAAGTTATAAAGAAATCCTTCGTGTGTGGGATGAAGAAAGTCCGGCGACTGTGTCACTGTTGCAAACCTGGCAAGTCCAGTTCCCCCTTACCTGCCGCCCCAGTCCAGAGTGCAGCCTCTCTCCCTGCCCCACACTCCCTTCTCCACTCCTTCGTCTTCCTGAACTCCGAGGAATTACAAAAAATTCCCCGTATGACGAGCGTGGGGGAGGGGTCGTATGGGGTGGTAGAGATGGTTTATTATAACGGTGCTATCATGGTTTTGAAAAAGCACAAGAAAGTGACCTTAGAAAAGTTTATAGAAGAACATTCGTTTCACGTAGCCCTAGACGGCGCCGGAGGAGCACCCCGTGTACGGGCAGTCTGTGTAGAGGAACGTGCCATGATCATGGACTACACTGGCATGTCCTATGATCAATACCTCCGCCGCTGCTCACCAAGAGAACAGTTCCACTCATTGCTTAAAGTCGCCGAGGCACTCTCTGCTTTACACTTAAAAAATGTAATTCATAATGATTTAAAGGAAAACAACATAACAATCACCTTCCCAGAGGGCAACCCCGTACTCCACATTATCGACTACGGCTTGGCCACAAAATCCGGAGTTACGGTCAACCACGGTCAACATTACAGGTATTGGAAGGCGCCGGAGCTGTACACTGGAGGGCTTACCTCGCCCGCCTCTGACACCTACTCCTTTGGATAGCTCGTTTACGGTGTGGCCAGACTTTTGCCGAAAACACCGACCAAGAGATGCCTCGACGAGGTAGTGGTCATGACCATGGATAGCGCCCCTCTCCGGCGACCACTGGCAGAAGTCATAAGTCACATGTACGCCTTTTTGCCCCAAGCTAACTGACCCCCCTGAGCGGACTAATTCCCCCCCTGGGCGGACTGATCCCCCCCCTCCCTTCCCCCCCGGGTAAACTGGGGAATATTGTGTGTGTACAGCATGTGTAACTATAAGAATGAAAAATAAAACCAAAAAAATATTATTTTATTTTATTTCATAAATTGCCTCATTCAAATCCACACCGTTCCTAAATATTCTAACTATTTCACCATTCCGTACACAGGTCCATTCAGTTTCACCCTTAGAAACAAACTTAAGCTTATCAATGATTTTTATCCACAAATTTATCTTAGACTAGTCCTCAAAACCCAGAGTTCAATTAATTTTTTTTTTAATTAAAGACACCATTTTGTACTTAGGTATCGTTATTTTTATCGGTTTTAAATTATAATGTTCTTTTTTTTGCAGAGGGTAAATTTAGGTATAATGTTACATTTTTATTGTATCACCTGTATTTTTTTACAACTTTTTGTTTTCTAGGCTCTGATGATGGAAAATGATTTTCCGAAACGTTAGTGATTAAAAAACCCAACTTAGTCAAAATGTTTGTTTTCCCTGGTGCTCCTCTTCGTCATAATCTCCTCTTATGTTTGCGGTGTGTGGATTAGTGGATGTCATGTTTTTGACCTGACCTCATGTTTTGTAAAGTCACCCTGTGTACATAAGCCTCTCTCAGTCCTTGTAATTCAGTTGCCTCTGAAGCTGTCTTGAATAAAGACGAAAGCTAAGGTGCTCCATTGTTTCCCTTTTTCCTGTGTGATTTTATCACACACTAATGTTTTGATCGAATCATTGGTTTTGACTTTACAGTAATCTCTCAGTGGGTGAGGAGCACGACTATGATGTGGTATATCTTGACTTTAGTAAAGCCTTCGACAGAATCCCCCACGAAGGACTAATGAGAAAAGTGGAGGCTCATGGTATTGGAGGAGATATTCTAAAATGGATTAGTGCGTGGTTGCAGGACAGGACACTGCGAGTGAGCATTAACGGCACTAAATCCGATTGGAGTAACGTCACTAGTAGAGTACCTCAAGGCTCAGTACTTGGACCACTATTATTTATTATATACATAAACGACATAGATATGGGAGTAGACAGCAACATAAGTAAATTTGCTGTGGACACTAAAATAGGGCGTGTAATTAAATCTGACGAGGACTCCGCATAACTACAAGATCTAAACAATTTTTTTGAATGGTCTGAAAAATGGCAGATGAAATTCAAAGTGGGCAAATGTAAAGTAGGAATCTTAAGCCAAGTAAACAATGTGTATTTGCTCGAAACAAGGCTAATAAAGTACTTGGGTTCATACAAAGGAGTGTTAGTTACAAGACTAAAGAGGTTATCCTGAAAGTATATCTTGCGCTTGTGAGATCTCACTTGGATTACACAGTTCAATTCTGGTCACCGTTTTACAGAATGGATATAGAATCCTTGGTTAAGAATTCAGAGGAGAATGACAAGACTAATCCCAAGCATTAGGAACCTTGAGTACAGAGACAGGTTAAAGCACCTTAATTTGCACTCCCTCGAGAGACGTACTGTAGAGTGAGGGGCGATATGATAGAGGTGTATAAATTGAAGTCAGGGCTAAACAAAGGGGACATTACAAAGGTACTCAACTATCCAACCAGGAGCAAACTCGTAACAATGGTTTTAAATTAGACAAATTTAGATTGAGGCGCGAAATAGGTAAACATTGGTTTGGAAATAGAGTAGTGGATGAGTGGAACAAGTTACCAAATATCATCATTAATTCGAATACGCTGGATAGCTTCAAACACAGGTTGGATGGATATATGATCGATAGAGGTTGGGTGTGAACGGGACTGCCCAGTATGGGTCAATAGGCCCACTGCAGTTTCCTCCATGCTTATGTTCTTATGTTCTTATGCCTGCACCAGCCTCACGCCATCCTGCTCTCATGTCAGTATCATTCTTACCTAAGTCTCCACCCCCCCTACTCTCTCCTGCCCCCCCAGCACGCCCCCCCCCCCTCACCTTACGGTTACCGCTGACAAGTGACAGTCCCACATCTAGTCACACAATGGCCAGGGGTCTCCCACACGATGGCTTCTCCACATGGTGTCTATCCAACGACACTGACCTACATTGTACCCTCACACCCTCATGACACCCACATTGTACCCTCACAGCCTCATGACACCCACATGGTACCCTCACTCACACACACACACACCCAAAAGGGATATTCCATCACTTATAGAGGCACGAACACAGCCTGCAACTCTCTCCGCCTCAAGACAAGACACGACCTGATTCCTTTCTACTTACACCCGCCCACCCAGCCGTCAGAAGACCTAACTACACCCACCCTGCTTGCCTATCACCCACCTACTCACCCACCCAGCCTACCACCCACCCACCCAGCCGTCAGAAGACCTAACTACACCCACCCTGCTTGCCTATCACCCACCTACTCACCCACCCAGCCGTCAGAAGACCTCCTACACCCACCCAGCTAGCCTACCACACACCCAGACGTCAGAAGACCTACCTACACCTGCCACACCTCTACACCTGCCGCAACGTTATTTACCTGTGAACAAGAATACTGTACACCTTATCACCCACTACCTCGAGACACAGTGGTAATTAACCTGTAATCAAGTATACAAGTTAAATAAGTGGAACACCTGAAGATTTGTCCAGCACCCACAGCTTATTTCACCTTAACGCCACCTTGGGGATGGGTGAAGTTGGGGCTAGATTATTTAAGTTAGGGTTAGATTGTGGTAAGTTAGGGTTAGATTATGGTAAGTTAGGGTTACACTATGTTAAGTTAGGGATAGATTAAGTTAGCGTTAGGTTTAGATTAAGTTAGGGTTAGGTTAGGATAGGATTAATTTTTTGATAGGAAAGGTTAGAGTTAAGTTTAGGTTAGGTTAACACTAGCTCAGGGATAAGTTAGGGTTAGGTTAGGGTCATTAACATGCAGGTGAAATAAGCTCTTCCCTACTCGGGTCATTTCAATTTCACAGATGAGGCGGCGAGGTGACCACCCACACAGCCGCTGACCATTCCTGAATCCCCTCCCCCCGACCCATCCTCACCGCCGGGATATCAACATAATCAAAAGTGACAATTTCGTTTCGGAAAGAAGTGGGATCAGTGTTGAACAGTGTTTAAGCCAGCGAATTCAGCACTAGACAGTACCAGTGAGAGCCGTGACCCACCAGTGAGATAAGCGCCCCTGGGAACTGACCACCATCGTCTGACCAGGAGGTGCTAATCCGTCCACCCTGGGAACAACAGAGGGCCGGCCGGCTATGCACGTGACTACAAGATAACACAACACCACCGAGCAGAGAGATTGAGGTACTATGACACCACCCACACCACACAGTGTCCCCATGACCACGTGAGGTCCTTCATATCAACACCCGAGGACGAGTTACTACACCACGTGAACACCACACCACCTGGTGTCTCCATGACCAGCCCAGGCCCGGGCCATCAACAGTAAACTATAATAATTTGTATGTTCAATTCGTGTTCCTTCTTCTTTCAATAATGAAAGCTTTTGTTAAACGACCCACCTACCCCATGTCTTTGTATGTAATAAGTCATTTTTGTCAAATGTATATTTTCAGCTGTCGGGCTGCATAATTTTTTCAATAAACCGTTAATTATTACACACACACCTACCAGCAACAGTCTGGTGGATCACTACAATCACTCATCGTGCTCGCCTCTCCTCACCTGTGGGAGAAAACAAACTTACATTAATATTACTGAAGCAATACAGGTGTTTGGATCACCTGAAGATTAACCACCCTAACGGTAACCTAACCTAACTCAGTCTAATATAACCATATAACCTAACCTAATATAACCTAAAGTAACCTTACCTAACCTAACCTAACCTTATAACCTAAAGTAACCTAACCTAACCTAACCTAATCCATTCTAATCTAACCTAACCAAATCCAACTTAAGCTGATATAACTTAAACCAAATCAAGCCTAACCTAACCTACACCCAGATGATGTTTTTAGATAAAGGAGTAAGGTGGAAATGAGTTACTTGTTGATGACGTAGATGTAAAGAACAACAACTATCATCTCCTTCTCATAAGCCACACCCTCCTCTCTCCCCTCTGTCCATAACACATTAATTTCACATTCCTTACGGCCAAAAATCATTACTATTTTCTGACAACTCTCAAACAATATCTGAAGACCCCCCCCCCCCCTGTTCTACCTCCTCCTCCAGTCCTACCTCCAACCTCCCCCTCCCCCTCACCTCCAAGATGACCCTGGCTGATCTGAAGGCAAAGTGGGAGGTAGAGAGGAGGAGGAGGAGAACAAGAAAGGAGGAAGAATTAAGAGGTGGAAAAATGAAAAGGGGGATTAAAGAAGTGGAAAAGAATGAAGAATAAAAAAGAAAGAGGAGAAGAAGGAAGAACAAAAAGGAAGAATACAGAAGGAGAAAAGAAGGGAGAATAAAAAGAAAGGAGGAAGAGGGGAAGAAGGAAGAATAAGGAAGAGAAGGAGTAGAAGGATGGTGAGGGAGAGGAGGGATGGTGGAGTTGACAAGACGTGGGTTAGGTTAGGTTAGGATTCCCCGATAGACGCCAGAACCTGTTACCGAGGCCTGTCAGGACAACTTTACCTTGACGATGTTCATCTGTTTCCTTTACTTATTACGCGTCGGTGTGTGTGTGTGTGTGTGTGTGTGTGTGTGTGTGTGTGTGTGTGTGTGTGGAGCCCTTCAACTGATTCTCTCTCTGCTTTCTTCTTCACCTCCTCTCTCTAGTTGCCTTCATCTCCACTCCTCACCTCAATTCCCCACGTTCTCATTCCCCACGCCCCTCACCCCCACACCCC